ATTTTCTCGTTCTTCTTGTTTCTTTCTTCCTCCAACAACTGCTGTAATCTCTCTTCTTGTTTATTTTCTCGTTCTTCTTGTTTCTTTTGCTGTTCCCGTATTGCTGCCATGAAAACTGCTAAGCTGTAGTTTGATTTGACACTTCTCGTTTCCATCTTCTTCTTTTTTTCATCCCACTTCTGACACCAATTTGTTAAGTATCTGCTTGTTTGATAATTTCCGGTATAAATTCTTTCCGAGGAACTTCAGCGATACAAGTCCCTTCTTGATTAAACCAGTTTATACTTTCTGGATACAACTTTTAGTGCACAATCACTACTTTCTAAACTTAACTACATTTATAATGCACGCTATAAATCACAATGATTCACACACTTTACTTATGGTGCCTACTGTTCACTCAATTCAATTATCTATCTGCCGCTGGCTTTCTTTGCCAGGCTTATATATACTAAAATGAGGGCATCTAGATCACACTCGAGCTGGCGGGCAAATTAATGATCCTTCGAGAAACGCCAATGCGTATGCTCCCAGCGTCGCGTGACTTCCCCTGTCGTAACAGGGTTTAAATAAACGTGGTGAGCAGAGTACAGATCGCCCATTGTGTAGCTTTGTGTTTAACTTTAACTGCAAAGAAAGAAAGATCTAGCTATAGCACGTTGAATTTGAGTATGTTTGATTGTATTATCAAACTAACATAAGCTTCTCCTAGCGGTCACTTATAGATATTAATGTTGTGAAAAATGTGAATTAGCTTGTCACATTAAGATGTCATCTCGTGGTCTAACCACTAAATAAAAAACATACCTTGATCTTAAATGTGTTAATTCAAGATATTAATTAGAATTAATTATTGCTGATTGATACTTGATATTGTTATCAATTTTGAAATGGTTTAATTTTGGGATATTGTTTTAGTTTTTTCTTGTTCTTTTCGTTCTTTTTCTTAATCCCTTTATTTATTGAAATCAATAACATTGATATTTATGTTGTATTGTTTATTAACGTTTGTATGAATTCTTGGCCAGGCACGGATTTACTGACTGTTTTCTTTAAATTTTGTTGTAAGTGATAAAATCTGTATTCCAATTATTTGAGTCCTTATAACGTCCCCACGGCTGAAAGGGCGAGCATGTTTGGTGTGACGGGGATTCGAACCCACGACCCGAAGATTGCGAGTCGAGCGCCCTAACACCTGGCCATGCCGGGCCCAAATGGCAGCTGGCAAGAGAAAATCTATTTTGTTATTGTTAATTTGTTATGTTACTTTGAATGTAATGTTTTTGACAAAGTAATGAAGACAGCATGTTGTACTCAATACTCATCTTCCTTTATTGAGTCATTAATTTTTAGCAAAAAACTTTTTAGAAATTCTGAATTTTTCTGTACAAAATACTTGTAATGTTTACTGAAAGTTTTTCAAGTTTCGTGCAGATACATAAATCGTATCGTATCGAACGATGTATCGATACAATCGAATCGCTGTATCGCCACACCTTTATAAGATACACAACAATGGGTGAAAGAGTACAGAATCCCTGAATCGCAAGATGAAAAATAAAAATATAATACGATATAACTTATAAGACCTTTATATATATTTTTTTCACCTTGCGATTTAGGGATTCCGTAAAAACGAAAGCTTATAAAAAAACACAAGGAAGAGGAACTTCCTCCTACGTTATTTCCGGCTCTGTCTTTGTTTTTTCTTTACATCCGGGAATTGTATGTGAGCCTACACCTATGCTCATGACATACTCTCAGTTATATTGTTTTGCTTTGTAAGACTTTTTTTTAAAATGTTTAATATTTTCTGTAAGTGTAATTACTACATGATGTATAGTTGAATCACTTCGAAGGACTTTTTAAGAATTCAGAACTAAAAGGTAAATAGATTTTAAGTTTTAACCAAATCTCATCGCTTATTTACGTACGTAATGGTATTTTAGTTGTACTAATTTTAGTTTACAAATTTAAGTGTAAGTGTAACTTACAAGATACACACAGAGCAAGTATATGGTAAGTTAATGAATGTACAAAAAATTTGTCGTCTTCCGAATTTCATGTCAGATGTTAAGTCGTCCGTTCATAAGTTCCATTCAGCATCATATTTCGACCTTGCTTAAAACTAAAAGTGAGGTATAATAACAGTAATACGATAAAACAGGTATGCCGATCACACCTATTCATGCTATTGTATCTAACACTAACAAGTGAGAAACTTGGGAACTCACAGTTAAAAATTAGCTAGTTTATTAAGTAAGTTGGTACTTCCTTTTACTAAGAGTGACTTTACTGTAAAGTGTAAAATATTTCTTTGATTTCTCCAATTTCGTCAAATCCATTAAGTTTGATCAATCTATATATCACCAGTTTTGATATTAAATGAGTCTTCATAGTCATACACTAATAATAACATTCCACATGATCAAGTAATCAAATTAAGTAGTGATTTATTATTTCCTGATAACACTAAGGTTAATGGCTTAACTAAAAATTAACTTATGAAACTACTTGAAATTATGATCAAAGAATCTGACTTTGTGTTTAATAATAAGACATTTGAATAATTGACAGTGTAACCATGGGCTCACCACATGCTCCCATGTTACATAATTTTGTCTTTTCATGAAACTAATTGGTTACAGTCCTGTCCATCCAAATTTAAACCTTTATTTTATAAGAGATACGTTTATGACACTTTTATTGTATTCAGAGAACACAGCCATGTCAAAAAGTTTCAAGATTATTTAAATTTTAAATGCAGGAAGATCAAGTTTATAGTTGAAGAACAAAAAGAATCTGAATTGCCATTTTTTAGACCTAGAGGGCATCAACCCGATCAACTGATCGAACCAAATACTTCCACAAACCAACATTTTCTGCCCTGTACTTACTGTCATTTCAGCATCATAGTTGTCTTTGTAATCATTGTAGATAACTTTATATCAAATAGCTGGCTTTAAGGTAACAAATTTACTTGCCTTATATTTTTAAGTAGGAATAAGACAACAAACGTTTATTTTTCACAAGCTCATAAAATGTATGCCTAAGGCCTAACAAATTTAATTATTCAATCTGATGTTTTAATTTCTAATAGTTTTCCCTATCTGATTTAGTATAGGAAAAAATTGTTCACTTGCTTACACAATATGTGGAATCCAGTTTTCTAATAAATTTTAATATATGTAATATTTCTTCACAAATTATTTCCAATTTTTGTATCTGAAACACATACAAATGAAAATATGTTGGTAACTCTGAGACAGAATTGAGAAAATGTTACCCACGTAATTTCATTCTTATAAATATCGTTGACAAGTAATTCTCAAAGTTTTGTTGTCATCCCATGTTTAAAATTAAAGATTAAAAGACTTTCAAACAGCATAGTTATGATGTGTGTGTCCTAAGATGGGATGTTTGAATTCCAAAAGCACATTGGTACACTTTTTACATCATAAGATATTATTCTAATAAGCTAATTAGCATTCTTTGTAACATTAAGAAGAATAGCAGAGGTATCACATACAGTGAAGAATCTGACTCCCTAAAAACCCAACAAATATTCCTCTCCTGTTCTATTTGTGTGAAGGAATAACTCCTAGTCAGGTACAGTGGAAGAAAGGATACATTAATAACTAATACAATGCCTTAGTATTAAAACAGTATAAGGTAGCAATTCGTTCTGGCTACCTAGCATAAACCGCATTTTTGACAGTAATATTAGTAGATTTGTTGAAAACATCTGATTTGGTTAAGACTATTCAGTGTTAGTGATTAGACTTGAATGTGGTAAGCGGGCTTTAGTGTTTTCTTGGGGTATGGAAGTTTGGGTTTTGTGTTAGACGAGTGTTGTTAATATGAAAAAAAGAAAGGATTTAACTGTTGTTGTTGATAGAACTTTCAAACCCCTATGCTGTATATGTATCTTTGGTGAACAAAATAGTTCTTGGTTATAATTAGAAAATTTTAATTTAAAGTACAAGAAAATTTTTGTAGACTTTTTTAAGACTGGTGATAGATACTCTGGAGTACTGGTTTCACTTTTAGTGGCCTTCATTACGTCTAAGGACTCGGGGTGTATACAGTCAGAGAAAAAAATGCCTAAAGTCAGGGAATTTTTTTTGTCTTTTTTTTCAGCCAGTAATCACAAACAGAAATGTATTGGCTAACCACTGCATTTAGTTTATAAGCTCAAGAATTAATTTAAAGTAGTTAATGTGCTGATTTCTGTGCATATTTGCCTATATATATATGTGTGTGTGTGTTTATATAATGTGAATGGTCAGTATAAACATAGAAAAAGTCAAGTAATTTATTATTTAAAGTTATGTATACACCCTGAAGGTACATGTACACTGTATGATAGTATTGGAAATAATTTAGAGACTAGAATGATACCGTTTAAGTTATAAGTTTCAAATTGAAAGACCCTGTATATTTAGGGTAGAGAAAATAACAGACAAAATACAAAGTTTTACTAAACACAAAAGTTTGAACTGTATTTCAGAAGTTTTAGATATCACACACATAATATGTGAGATTTTTGGGACAAAGAGTAGTTTTTTTAATCATGACATGAAAATCATATTGCACTCGAACTAGTAAAGAAACAGACTCAATATTTTCACAAACAAATCTTTAGGGAAAAATACTTGATTAAAAAAATCTGATTTTTGTGTAGAAAAGACTTGGAATCATTACTAAAAGTCTACCAGATTTTGTGAAGATACATATAGCATTAAAAGTTATGGTATAAATACTTAACGTGTGCAAATGTGTATACAAACTCGTGTATTTTACACTGAGCTCGTTGTGAAAGGGTTAAGGGTAATTTGATCCATTCCTTTATTTGTGGCAATTATTCCTTCTTTCCACTAATTCTCCTTCATGATTTGATTTTCTGGATGGAAATTTGGTTTATTTTTATTCAAACTGCTCATTCATCTTTGTCTTTACCTTTTAAACCTGAAGATTTCTTTTATACTGAGTGATCCCTTGTTGGAGTTTGTTTGAAGCATTGCCCTACTTTGGACCCTACTGATTTTAGGGTTAACTATTCTCTAACTTACGAGTTTTTTTTTCCATTTTAAATACATTTGACCTTGATTTGAGCTCTGTTGAGTAAGTATTTATCTCCTCTATTTCATATGTATAAAATGGCCCAATATATTTAATAGTTATCAGTGGATCCTATTTATTTTCTAAACTCATTTCTGTAAACTAATTATGCATTGAGTTATTTGTTGGTTTAAGTTTGTTAGTTACAAGGTCTATAATGACATCAAAGCTGGGTGATTTGTAGAATTTATTAATTAATTAATCATCAAGTTCATTAATTGACTATATTCAACTAATTAATTCTTGTCTCATGAGACTTGGAATAATCAAAACTACTATTAATCAGAAACTAATTTTGATTCGTTGATTGTATTATGGAGTTGTGGCTCTAAATGGTTGAACAATTTTGTAATAATCTGAAAATCAATGATGAAATGCTAATTTTGATTAGTTGATTATTTTCATGACATTAATAGATTTAATAATAATTTCAGTTAATCAGTGCTCATTGGTAATCAGTTATTCTGAGTTAATCACCCAGCTCCAATAATATACGCGTTGCACAACAAATTTAAACAAAAGTTAATTCCACTGGAACTTCTGGGAGTCCCCCTGTGTATTCATTGAATTTTGTTGTCAGTTCTTTACAGTGAGTGTTGTAACAGTCAAAAACATCAAGTTACTCAGTATCGACCAGCAGTGAATGGTTAAAACATGTCAGTGATCTGAGGGTTAAAAGTAATCACAAACTGATCTTATCTTGAAAAATAGTAAAGATGATTTATGTATCATCAGCTTGTTGTTGTTTGTGATAAAATACATTTAGACTTCCATTCAGAAATGAAAGTGTTGGTATCGTGTAATGACATGTCGGACAAACTCAACAATGTAACATGTCGGCCAAACTCAGTAATGTAACAAGATGTTGAACAAACTCATTAATGTAACAAGATGTCAGCAAACTCAGTAATGTAACGACATGTCGGACAAACTCAGTAACGTAACAACATGTCGGACAAACTCAGTAATGTAACAACATGTTGGCCAAGCTCAGCAATATAACAACAATGTAAAGATGATTTTAATATAAAGTATTCTTAGTTTTAATCCAAAGTTTTATATTTATAAAGTTTGTGTTCAGTCCAATAATCTTACTAGTTGTGATAGAGTTTGTAAAAAATTGTTATTCTTCATTACAGCTGTTTTATCAATGATAGTGTAATAACCCCAAGAAAAAATCCAGTGGTTGATACACAGAAAGGATTCAGCTATGGCTTCAGTTGGGAGTGGCCGTAAAAGGGCTACAACTAAATTATATTCTGCAGAGAATGAGGCTCTCGATCAAATTGCTCGTGAGGTAAGTGAAATGTATCATACGTGTGTGTGTGTGTATGTATCATGGTGTTTCTAGTATTTTCTATTTGGGGGGCAGTCACAATGGAGAGAATTTAAAAAACTTAAAGACTGTATTTCAGATGATGGTGGTGGGAGTATGTGCATGTGTGGCTCCAGTGTGCCCCCACACCATCCCAGTGGACATGTCCCTGGCATGTGTGTATGTGTATACATATATATAATTTTCTTGTGCATGAAATTGCATCTATATTAAAATTCTACATCATACATACATGTGCATGTTTATAAGTCTTTAATAACCACATGATTTTAAATTCACAATGTGAAGAAATCACTTGATATGAAAATATTGAGATAAATCACAAAGAAACACTGTTGAAGAAGAAAGGTTCTTCAGAAAGCACTTGGATTGTCAGGTTTCTTATTTTGTGATTTTATTAAAAACTGACCATACTGTGTCTGTAGATTAGAGTTGAATCTAGGTTATTTTAAGTATCAATAGAATTATATCTTGTCTCAGGATCAGTCAGTCAGACATCAACAGTTGAAAATGTCAGAATTGAAGGTGTGGGCTAAATTAACTATTATTTAAGTACCATATTTTACTTCAGATCAGTAGTTTTTGGGTACTTATATATGTTGCATATATTAACAACAATATGAATGTACTTGGTTTAGTTAAAAACATAATATACACTTGTAAGGGTAATTGTATATGTTGCATATATTAACAACAATATGAATGTACTTGGTTTAGTTAAAAACTGATAATATACACTTGTAAGGGTAATTGTATATGTTGCATATATTAACAACAATATGAATTTAATTGGTTCAGTTAAGAACTGATGATATACACTTGTAAGGGTACTTATATATGTTGCATATATTAACAACAATATGAATGTAATTGGTTCAGTTAAGAACTGATAATATGCACTTGTAAGGGTAATTGTATATGTTGCATAATATATAAGTACCCTTACAAGTGTATATCATCAGTTCTTAACTGAACCAATTACATTCATATTGTTGTTAATAGTTGCATATATTAACCACAATATGAATGTAATTGGTTTAGCTAAAAACTGATAATATACACTTTTACAGGGTATTTATCCTTGTGGTGTGTATTAAGAATGACAAGAATGTACTTTCATATAATGTATACTTGTATATGATATTTATTTATCTGGCATACTTATAAAAGTGAAAAAAACTAACCTATATAGCTTGTAAACATTGAAACTTAAAATAAGAATCAGTGTGGTAAATAAAAGTTGGTTTTATAGGAAAACTAAAGAAAACCTTGTTAAACCGGGGAGCGTGTATGTTTGCTGTAAACTACAAAAGCAACATTGGAACAAAGTGTTTTTTGTACATATGTTATATCAGAGGTGTCGCCAAGGGTTCCCCCCTGAAGAAATCTAAGCAGAGTGATCAGATATTATTTTTCAACTTTTATATATAATAAACTTGTTTTATTTCATTTAATAAAAATAAATAAAACTTCTATAACCACTAGTACATTTGATTTGTTTTAATGACCATTTTATTAAAAACTTAGATCAATTTTAGCTTTCTAATTAATTGCCCCCCCCCCCAAATTTTCTGACCCCCTTGAGTGGAAAACCTGGCTATGCCACTGTGTTATATAATATTAATAATAATTTTTAAGTTGATGTTCAGTAGAGCTGGGCAATTTGATTAACTTATTTATTTGATTACCTATGAGCAGCAGTTAAATCAATTAATCAAAGTGAGTATTTCCGATTATTACAACTATTCAAGTAATCAAAATGTTGTTGTTATGTTTGTTTGTTGTTAAGCACAAATCTGTATAATTGGTAATCTGTGCTCTACCCAATTTTAGATTTGCAAGCTGTTTTTTTACTTCATATTTCTTCAGCTTTGGTGATTTAGTGGGGAAGGATCTTGGGTTTAATTCCTATTACTACCAAGCTTGTTCATCCTGACTTTGTTATGGCAAAGCCATTTAGGTTGTCTACCACTGTTACTAATTTTAAACTATTGACTAAAAGGAAGGTAACTGTCTGGTAGCACTTACTGCCAACTTTTTTTTTTCATTCCAATTTTTTTTTCCCTTCTTCAATTTCTGACTAGAGAGATAATAACAGGCTGGTTGCACCTACTGCCAACCTTTTTGTTCTTGTTTTTACTTTTATATACAATGGTTTGAGAAATACTGTAGTAATCAATTAATGGGGCCATTGATTAATCAGTTAGCAAATACCAATTAGCTCCCTCATCTATAGTTTAGATTTCTCTCTGTTTCAGTAAAAATAGTAATGGCATGTATCAAACACTATTGAAAACATTGTACACACGATAGCAGTACTATAACTTATTAGCTAATGATCATTTGAATTTCCCTCAATGACCACATCTCTAGAATCCCTCTGGATACTTTTGTTGGATAATGTATATTTAATGATTAAATACAATGTTTTATTTGCCTCCTAGCTGCAATTTACAAAGACATCACATTTGTGGCAGACAAACATTAGATTTAAAATACTGTTTTTACATGGCTATAATCTCTAATCCATAATGGACTAACTGTCAGATGTAGAAAAACAAAACAAAATACATTTGCAGCCTAAAGTAGTTATGTTTATTAGTCAAAATAATGAAACCAGATTTTAACGTAAGCTCCTATGTGATGGATCTGACTTGATAAAGGAGTAAGATTAATCAACCTGATAATCTGGGTTAAAGATCAATTATTCTCACTTGCAAGAATCAATCACTTCATATAGTGGCCAGAAGTTTCTGGCTTTTGGCCAAATGGAAAGTGTAACAACTAAAATGTTAATCTTCTGTTTAATATTTATGAGTTAATTAAAAATGTCCCTCTCAAATACTTCTAATTAAGAGGGTGATGGAGATAAATGCTGTCCTATTGGTCAAAGTCAAATTAAATATTTGTATCATTTGACAACAATGCAGCTGCTGTTTTGTATGTCTGAGCAAGATAATTCAATGCATACTTTATAAACAAACTCTGTGGAATTTTCCTTAATCCTCAAGTTATCAACTTATTATATTTTTGTCTGTTACAATAAATAGTGTAAAGGACTGACCAAAATAATTAGTTGAAGTAACTTATTTTCTATGTATAACACAGTAATAATTAGTTGAAATAACTTATTTCTGTGTATAACACAGTAATAATTTGTTGAAATAACTTATTTTCTATTCATAACACAGTAGGGATCCAATCAGTATTTAGTGAGATCAATATTGATTATACTTTAGTTAAGTTTTTGTGTGGTTTGTACATGTTTGTTATTTATTACTCTACCTAGTTTTAGTTAATGTTACAGTTTAACAGTAATTCATACTTTTAATCAGGCCACTTCTAAATATGAAAACACCTTATTTTACATGAGTAATGTTACAGTGTAACAGTAATTCATACTTTTAATCAGGCCACTTCTAAATAGGAAAACACCTTATTTTACACGGGTAATGTTACAGTGTAGCAGTAATTCATACTTTTAATCAAGCCACTTCTAAATAGGAAAACACCTTATTTTACATGAGTAATGTTACAGTGTAGCAGTAATTCATACTTTTAATCAGGCCACTTCTAAATAGGAAAACACCTTATTTTACACGAGTAATGTTACAGTGTAACAGTAATTCATACTTTTAATCAGGCCACTTCTAAATAGGAAAACACCTTATTTTACACGGGTAAATGTATACGTCTATACATCATAACTTATCATTCATTTTATCCATTCAACCCAAGCACTTGTGTAGGTAGAATCAGAGAACATTTATCACAAGTTTTCTGGTAAAAGAATATTATTTTAAGAAATATAACTTCGATATTAAACAGAATACCTGCTGGTGGTATCTTTATGGTACCTGCATGATAGAGTTTTTTTTTTGTTACCTTTGCTTTAATATCTGCTGCTGTTTTGTGTTACTATAGCTTTTGAACAGAACTGCATTACCTAACAGTAGTTAGTTAACGAGAGGCTTGTTTTGGCAGCCCTTCTGTGTGATAAAGACAAATTGAAAATCTCAACTACACAGTATCTGTTACGACAGATCGTCAGAATGATGCTGGCAGGGGATCAAGACATGTTAAGAAACTGGTTTCCAGTATGTTTGTAATTTATAAGTGTTTAAATGTTCTCTTTGTTAAAAGATAATGTGATAGGCAAAAGAAATGATTAAATAAACTTATCAGTAACTATTTTGATTGTTATAATTTTAATAAGGTATGTGTATATATATAAAGACTGCCTCACATACTGGACAAAGAAAAAGGGTCAAACTGTATTAAACTAAAACTGAAAATTATTTTGCATCAAGATTATAGTCACTTAGTCTGTGAACCTAGCTCTTTTGATCTATGTTGAGAAAATGACTTCTCAAAATGCATCAAATGTGTGTTTTTTTCTATTCACAGGTTAAATAACTTAAACGATCTAGTAAAGGTGATAGTGGTTCATCTGAAACTTTCAGTCTTCAGATTTAAACAGGTAGAAACTTAAATCTTCTGGTGAAGATATCGAGTTGCTGCAGCATAGTGTACTTAATGATTAAACTTGTATTGTTAAACAGTTTAAAATTCTCTGGTTTGGATAGCTCTCTTCTAAAGTTAATATTGTTCATGAAAATAGTGTGTTTATGGCTACAGCATGTGTACAGTGATGATTGTTCTTCCCACCATATCTCAGAACTGTCAGATTTTAAATAAAGTCTTAAATACCCTGCATGCTTTACCACAAAAGTCAAGATACAAGTAAACAAGATTGTTAAATTGGTTACTCTGGTGTGTTAGGGACAGTTACTAGAGAGGTTTTCAAAAATGTATATTTTCTTTAAACAGACATCTTCTTGGAGGGTTCAGTATACCATTACTGTGAATGATGTCACTCCAAATTGATTCTGTATTGTGTGTAGATGGCAGTGTGCACATATGATGTGACCTCCTGCTACTTGTCTGAGTTATTCCAAATT